TAAATTTGCGCCGACTAGCTGGTACTCCCAGCCGAAAAATCTGCCGACCGCAAAGGGTTAATCTATATCTCACATAAACATCCTCCTACTAAATTCCAACCTTATCTCATATAAACATCCTCTGATCGACTTCACTCCAATATCTCATATAAACATCCGCCGACCAACTTCTAATAAACAATCTTACGCCACCTTCGCCACAACAACCAGATAACTGTAAGCATGCCCCGCACCACCAAGTAATCTGTATAAAAGAGGCGATAGAATCAGCAGTTCAGGTACAGACATAGTTCAGACATAGTTCAGATACATAGTCAGTTACTCAGTCAGAGTACAGCGACGGGTCGCCGCCAGCCGGCACGACCGCGTGTCGTCAGCCGTATCTGATATACGACTGACTCCGGAGTCCTCCTAAATCATACGACAGTATATATAATCAATAGTGAGTAATCATCTTGTAATACAAATATATGCAGAATATATTATATTGTCATATAACCACATATCCACATGACTGATTATTACACACGCTCCTACACCTCGATGAGATCATAAAGAGTGCTTAGCGCATTCACGCCTCGCCATAGTACGGCGATATAGATAACGAGTACATCGCGCATCCACGACTCGTTACGGCGACATAGAGTCAGTGCGCGATCATCATAGGCGACATCAACGTGGGAACGTTCAAGGCAGTATTTCAGGACCCAGTCAGACGCGGACGTACGCAACGCGTGGACTAAAGGTTGCTCAATCTTATGTTCTGGGCCGAGATCCGTGGCTTAGCACTATCAGATGTCGTAGACCACATCCCGGGACGTAACAAATGGTGACAGCGGTGGGATCGAAGCAATCACTGTAATATTGCCAAGAGCGCTACGTGACGTCAGCAGGAGCAGCACCAAGCGCACCTGAACAACGAGTGCGCCTATTTCGTCTCGAGATAGACGGAGCCATCGCATTATTCTATATAACATGGAAAAGGATGCGAAAATCGATATTGGAAGTGAGAGCAAGACGATCACTTCCGCGAAGAAGAAACGGCCTGGCCGAGGTTCGCGCAAGCGAACTACTGAAGCCTACCGTGAGAAGGTCGGGATGAAGCAGCTGGCGGAAAGGAACAACAAGATCTTTGAGAAGTACGGACTACTTGACGCGGATGCAGCTGAACTGGAGAAATCACTCACCAATATGTCGCTGACTGTCCAGTCGTACGCCGTCCCTCTTACCGTTTCCACCCGCGGTGTTGGTTTTTCCGCTGCGTTGGAGTATTCTAGGATGATAACGACCTGGAATCTTCAGGCGATTGTTGAGATCTGTACGGTCTATCAGTACTATCGCGTTTGCCTCTATCTCGCTTATTTTCGCGTGTACGAAGTGCGCTTCAGTCAAGCTGAAATGCAGTCTTATCCTCTTCGGAATGACTTGTACTTCAGCGAGGAAGTCCGGCAGGTTATGTCGGCCGTTTCGCAAGTCCCGGTATTGACCTCGACGGTGCTAGGTGCGACTGCGCGCGCATCAACCGAGCCGGGCGGGAGACATCGCTTCTCCCACCCCGCACGCAAATCGAAATGCCACGAGAGCATCAGACGACTGATCAGTCCTACGAGAACTACCGCAGTTAAAACATGTATCCGAGCAGACATTGTATTTAGCTGAATCATGAGCTATCCTTGCGAGCCTTACATAGTGAAACCAACGAACGAAATTACATCTATACATAGACTGCTTGTCCATGGGGAGGAAGAGGGAAGTGATGAAGACAGTGACGAAGTCAAAGGTGTAAGAAGGCGAAAAATCCGCATAATAGATAGTGAATCGGAAAGCGACAATGATTGTGTAGAAGAGATGGAACCTTTTGAATGCACAATGTGCACCGAATCAGAAGAACTACCAACAAGAATACCATTTGTATCCGGCGAAAGGCACGTAGGACCGCACGTACCATCACACATAAAAGAACCCATAGATTTCTTTAAGCTATTTTTCACGGAGGAATTAGTTACTGAAATAGTACAGGAAACTAATAATTACGCTGCAAAGAAGCTAGAAGGGAATACATTATCGTCTCATTCAATAAGTCACTCAATAAGTCCCCGGTCTGACACATATATGGCAACATTGTTGACAGACCCACGTGATTTCCGGGTAGTATTAACCTTCAAACAGTACGTGTCAAAATTTCATGGCATTCTGACCGTTAGTTTAGAGGTTACAGTCGTTTTAGTGACCCCAGTTTTGTAATTTTCAAGACAATGGATAGAAAGGAATTTCGTGTGTTGATTAAACACTGTTTTTTGATGGGGAAAAATACTGTTGGAGCCAAACAGTGGTTTGATAAGCATTATGGGGACTCTGCACAAGGGAAATCAACTATTATTGACTGGTATGCTGAATTTAAACGCGGTCGTACAAGCACCAATGATGCTGAACGCTCTGGTCGCCCAAAATCGGCAGTTGTTCCGGAAAACATAAAAAATGTCCACAAAATAGTTTTAAAAGACCGTAAAATGAAGTTGTGTGAGATAGCTGACACCTTGAAGATATCAGAAGGTAGTGTCTTTACAATTTTACATGAAAATTTGGGCATGCGCAAGTTGCTTTCGAAGTGGGTGCCGCGTTTGCTCACACCGGACCAGAAACAACAACGCGTCGACGATTCAGAGCGCTGTTTGGAGCTGTTCAAGCGAAATAAAAAGGATTTCTTGCGTCGGTATGTGACAATGGATGAAACATGGATCCACCACTACACGCCTAAATCAAAAAGATCGTCAGCTGAGTGGACAGCAGCCGGTGAAAATCGTCCAAAGCGACCAAAAACACAAAAGGCGGCTGGCAAGATTATGGCATCCGTATTTTGGGACGCGCATGGAATTTTGTTCATCGACTATCTTGAGAAAGGCAAAACTATCAATAGTGAATATTACATGGCATTATTGGATCGATTGAGTGCAGAAATCAAGAAAAAACGGCCCCACATGCAAAAGAAAAAAGTGCTGTTTCACCAGGACAATGCCCCGTGTCACAAGTCGATGAAAACAATGGTTAAATTGGATGAATTACGCTTTGAATTGCTTCCCCACCCACCGTACTCTCCAGATTTGGCCCCCAGCGACTACTGGCTTTTTGCAGACATGGAAAAGATTCTCCAGGGAAAGAAATTTGGCTCAAATGAAGAAGCGATTGCCGAAACTGAGGCTTATTTTGAGAGCAAAGATAAATCGTTTTACATAAAGGGCATCGAAAAGTTAGAGGAGCGTTGGAATGAATGTATCACTCTTGAAGGAGAGTATGTTGATGAATAAAGTGGAATTTCTAAAAAAAAAATTGTTTTTCTTAGTTAGACCGGAGACTTATTGAGTGATGATTATATGGCGATCTTGGTACGATGTGACCATAAGCGAATTCTGGGCATTTATTGCAGTAATCATATATATGGGGACGATGCCGTTGGCAAACTTACAGGAATATTGGTCCAGAAATAATGTTAGCTACATTCCATTTTACTCTGACACATTCACCAGAGACCGATTTAGTCAAATTTTCTGGAGACTTCATCTGAAGACAATACCCTCACAAAATACAAACCCAAGAGTCCGTTTGCAGTTAGTGTGTTGCTTCCTCGATTATATAAATGCAAGATTCTTGAATTATTTTGTACCCGGAGAGCAGATTTGTGTGGATAAGTCGATTGTCAAATTCAAAGGTCGAATTTCATTCATTACATACAATCCGATGAAACCTACAAAATGGGGTATTCGGGTTTATACGCTGGCAGATTCCAATACCGGCTTCATTTGCGGCATTCTACCATATTATGGATCTCTAACAGCAGAGACTTTGATAAGACTTGACCTGCCGGTTTCAACCAGAATTCCGCTGCACCAGTATAAAATGCTGCTGGATAAAATTCCCGGTGCTCAGGAACATCACATGTTCACGGACCAATACTATACTAGGTATATATTGGCGGAAGAATTATACAAACAAAAGTGCCACTTGACTGGGACAATCATGACAATGTGACGTCGGCTACACCCACGACTGAATTAGCGATAAGACATATTGCGACGTCGAGTATACCGACGATTGAATTAGCGATAAGACATATATAATAATTAGTCATAAGCACACTCCGACTCCACTCCAAAACATAACCGAACATTCCAATCCTATCTCCCATAAACATCCGTCCGAACCAACTCCTTATCTTCCCATAAACATCCTTGGCCCAAACCAAATTCCACTCCTATCTTATCTCCAGCCTAAACAAAACCACATCAATAACATTCACACGCCACCCTTTATTCCCTCGATTCCCGCACCTATAAAACAATAGTATAAAAGAAGCGACAACCGATCAAAGATTCAGTCTGTAGTCTGTAGACTGCAATCCGCAGTCGCAGTCTGTAGTACACAGTCACAAGGCGAGAGACCCAGAGTCTCCGTCTCCGTCAAGTAGAATCCATCCGAGGACCTACTCTGGCCATCGCGTTCCGAAATCGTTCCATTCCCGAGTTTTACTATATCTAGCGTTAATTAATCTAAGTTCCATATATCTGTAATCATTCTTACGTTAATACATATATCTCGTATATCTACTTCCAGTATATTTAATTCAATATCCAATTCATAACTCTAGTGCATTACGACACTCTTCTTACAATAAGTTGCGGCGGTGCTGCCTTAGCTGCACGGCGACCATTGTTAAGAGAGCATCGAGAGTAAGATCTTAGACGGAGGCGCTGACTTAGCTGCGCGGTCTAAGTTATTACGCGACAAGCACATCAGAGTTAATGTCGCGTACGCGACGCGCCGGTTTCAAGTACCAACTGCGTAAAATAGTGCGCGAATATCACCGACCAGCATCTCAGGGACGCTGGCCTCTCGGAGTCGAAACAACTCCCATCCTCGATCAAGGACTCCAACGGAACGGAATCACGTGGAGGTTGATTCCCCTGGACTTGGATCGACAATAAGCGGATTCTACGCGCCCAGACCATCATCGCAGTCCCACCATCAGACACAGACGTACGCGCTGTGTGGAAGGCGAAGATTGTTCCTTGTGCCGTTCGGTCGAGATAACGATAGAAATATCGTTGCATTCCTTAACCGGAATCCCGGACGTAACAAATTGGTGGCAGCGGTGGAATTGCGATCGCTGCGATAAGAAGTCTGCCGCAACGCATCCGCTTCCCCGAGAACAGGCAGAGTGACGTCACCCTCACTCTCTTCGAGCGCCGCACGTGCATCAGATGTGACGTCGGACGACGACGCTGGACGTCGAGTAACGACGTTGGAGTAGAGATAAGATAGAAGTAAGGAACGTGTAACAGTAACACTAAGTCACGATGTATAAACGATACAGCGAAATGTATAAACATAATATCGACCGACGTTCTTCGAAACGTCGCAGTAAGAGATAAGATAGCGTTAACGAATATGTAAACACAACCAATGTAATCATACTCTTAAGGTATCACATAACACTAGCCTTAAGAACCGCGACAGACATAAACAATCGATACCGAGAAGACATTCCAAAGACGTCAAACAGACCAACGCCATAACAAGATAAGACGACAGACAACAAAGGAAAGACGCAATAGCGGCTGTATAAAAGGCCCCAGCCAACAGCCAGCAACGATTAGTTTAGCTTAGTCCAGTGCAGACAACACAGAGCATAGTCGCTCCGTACAGTTCGGCACAGTCGCCGACACCGTTAAGACGTACAGGCAGATCCGCTCTGACCTTCCGTCTTAACCATACACGACAAACGTTACAACCGACGAATATTATAACCGACTTTATTATAACCAAGTAGTGTAGAGTACATATACAGAATATACATATATATATAGTTATTACAACAAGAGTACAATCATTAAGTCTTTGACTCCCATTCACCGCGTAAACGCGTCAATCAACGAGAAAGAGAAGCTATCGCCAGAGAAGCAATCGCTGCAGATAACGAGCAGCCTAACGCCGAAGACGACATCGCCGCAACGACAGGAGAGATAAGGAGATACCAAGGCACAGAAATTCCCGAGCAGACGCAGACGTTACGTACTGCGTGGCACAAAACAGAGTTGAACTACGTTGGATCAGATAACAAGGTAAAGCCGCGAATGCTGGTTTCTGACCTCGATCCGCGACGTAACAAAATTGGTGGCAGCGGTGGGATAACTCAATCCCTGTGCCATATCTAATCTCTCGCAGATAAATAAACGGTCGGCGAACGCAACGTTCAGCCGCCTTATCTGATTTATGCGCCGCATTCCTTCGGTCGCCGCTTTCTCACGCGCCGAGTCCCCACTCGCGCAGTACCCCCACTCCACGCGCGCTCCCAATGCCGCGCGTGCTCCGACAGAACGGTCAGTCTCACGCGGCACTCCGTACCGACAACACGTTCACAGTGTCTCACGATAAAACTGTACAAGTTCCAGTACGCGAACCACAACCGCGTCTCAGTTCGCGAAAATCTCATAACGCAGAACGTTTCCACCGAAAAATATTCCCCGACGAACCGGCAACCGCCGAATCACACGTATGGGACGGACGTGGGAAGAAACCGCGCAGGTAATAGAAAGAAATAATAAATTCATCCTCAAGGGTGACGTTACGGAAACACGCGCGCCGGAAGGCCAGCACGTTAACCGTGACAGAATCCGAGATCACGCAATCAGACTAGGTTTACTTAGTTTTGCGTTCCCCAATTACAATTTTCAACGTTCGACAGACGGACTTTAACGAGTGCAGACGAATCGCGTCGAACCATTCTCCATCGCAAGCGCTTAAAAACAGCGTTGAACAGACGTCGCAGATATGCGCAGTAACTCTGACGTAGTATCTCGCGAGAGTTCTGGCGTGAAGAGGGTGAGTATCAGCGCTTAGCAAACGCCTCTCGCACCGTTACCGACTCTTAACGAATTTTTAGAAAAATAAACGACGCAGCCGCCGTGGCGGACGAAAAGTGCAAGAACGACGACAAAAAGCGATCAACAGGGAATTGGAAGCAGCAAACGCGCAGTATCTTGCGTATGAGGCAGCGCCAGTCCCTGAAGACCAGCAAAACACGCCGACGATAGAAATTATTGATTTGTGCGATGATTCTGACTGCGACACAGTCAAAATTCCGCGACCGCCAACACCAATCGAGGTGCTTGACACGCGTACCGCGCTTAGCGTATACAACCACGACAGCATTCCCGACGAGATATTGTTGTCATTCGTGAAAAATTTTTCAAACGGTGTACCAAACGAAGTACCACAGGACATCGCCTGGTGGTGTACCTTTATGTACGAGAACCAATAAACGGAAAAAGGAATTTTCATATCATTCGTAAGTAAGTAAACTTAATTACAAACCATGGACACCCGATCTAGAAAAACCCCAGAAACGTCGAATCCCGAAATCATATCACAACTCCGCAATCAAATGGCGGAACGCGAAAAACGCATTACGGAAGAGTATCGCAGACTCGAAACAGAACGTAGAGAATTTGAAACCACGCGTCGTGAACGCGACGACGCACTCGCGGCAATGCAAGCCATGCGCGAGGAATATAAAACGATCCTCGATCGTCCGACGTTACCCGCACACGTCGAATCTCCGGAACCTTGCCCGGAATCGTTTAATTTTACCATGAAGGAAGCTCTCGCGACAATCCCCACATTCGATGGCACGGATTCGTCCATACTTAGCTTCACGCGAGCGTGCAGACGAGCACGAGACTTAATTCCTCCGAACGCAGAAATAACGTTAACACGACTAATTTCGAAGACGAGCGCCATAATACGGTATCAGAACTTTGCAGCCGTCTCAAAGATATTTTCGGCCCGCAGAGAACGGTAGATCACTACCGCGGCGAAATGGCAAATATATTCATGAAAAAAGATGAACACGTCATCGACTTTATAAGCCGCACGAAAGACATTCGCGACGCAATCATAGACTGTGACCGTCGCTCGCCTAATATTCCGGATATAGATACCCTAACGGTAGACTGTTTCATCCGAGGTGTTATACCGAAAATACGAACCGAGCTTCGTCACCTTCGTACCAGCCCGCCTACACGCGTTTTCAACGAAGC